AGGAAACACAGCAGGCAGTGAAAAGATCAAATCATTCACTCATTATATCAACACAGCTGGACAGTGGACACATGACTTTACTGTGTTATTTAAATGCAGCTGATATTTTATATATGTCTGCGCTAGTCTGTGCTCATGATCACTGTGATCACAAACCTGGAGAACCCAAGAACCATTGTCTTCTTTGGAAAATTATGAACTACGCATTAAATGACTTATATAAGTTCACTGAACACCAAAATATCCACTTTTTCAACATTAACCCTTCATTCCCTGATTTAGGATTTGGGTCAGATTTGACCCATTGGTCTTTAGGCATATCATTTTAAAAAATCACAATAACAAACACTGTCAATGTAAACTATTTTAAAGTTAGGTAAATAAATCAACCTCACAGCTACATTTAACAAGTTTTTTTTTCTTTATTTGTTGCATGTCAGAACTGGATTCAGTTTGAAACAAAAGAACACAAGGCACAGTTTTCACAGTCACTGCATATCAGTTTTGAGGTCCTTGCACACAGTTCAATGATGGCAATGTTCCTTCTTGACCGGCCAATGGGCGATTTGGTTGAAACGAACATCTGCACTCTTGTAAACTCAAACTAATTTTGGTGGTGAAAAAAAAAACCCAAACCACGGGCATTTTCTTATCCATGAATTCACACTAGACATTGTAGTAGTCTTTGAAGCAATTTCTTTTTTTGTTGATGCAGAGTGGAACAGCATATTTTTCAAAGTGCATTTCAGTTTTGAGGTCCTTGCACACAGCACATCGACGGCGATTTTCCTCCTTGACATTCCAAGGGGCGATTTGGTCGAAACAAACATCTGCACTCTTGTAAACTCAAACAAATTTTTGTGGTGGCGGGGAGGAGAGGCCAGAAGTTGTTGGCCTACCCCGACTTCTTGCTGTTCCAACTTGAAACAAGCCTTCAGCAACCAAACCCTGAAATTTGCGAAGTTTGAGTACTTTCGATGTTGGGATTCCCTGGGCCTCACAGTCACGCTGGTAAAGAAGCCATGCGTTGATCACTGCAACAGACAAATGCCAGAAAAAGTATCATATACCAGCGACGGGTCCTGATGGGAAACTTACAGCATACAAGATGTGCATCCAGCATGTCAACTCCTCCCATGGAAGCATTGTACTCCTTGATGATGTTTGGCTGATCAATGTTGATGTACTCTTTTTTTAACTTGTCCCAGCGGCGGGCTTTTCCCAAAGGCTCTGGTCCAGCATATGTTGACATCAAAGTGACTGCTTTTGTGTCTTGCCATTTCAAACACACAGTATTGGTGTTGGACTCGATTCGATGATCATATGATCCATGGCCTTTCTTGGACAGGTCTGTCATCAGGGTGCACTTTGACGTGCGGTTTTTTCGAACAGTTCCTGTGTAGCAGATTCCCTTTGCCAATAATTTCTCAATGAGGGGCATTGAAGTGAAGAAATTGTCAGCAAAAATCAGGAAACTTACTTTCTCTGCGAGTCGCATAGCTTCACCACAATGTCTCCACCAACTCCCAACTGACTCTTCCCTTTTTGCTCATTGGCACCTCCTTTTCCTTGATATATATCAAAATCATGCAGGAAGCCAGTGACACAGCAGCGCCCCCACACTTTGAATCCCCACGGATGTGGCTTCCCTTTGATGTACTGCCTTATGCTACCAAATTTCCTTTGTACGGCACCATCATCTCATCGATGGACTGTTTTTGGCGAGGCGCAATAGTCAAACATTGTCTCTGAAAAGAATCCAAAAACGGTTTTAGTTTCCACAGTGGATCCTTTTTAATTCTTCACTGCCCATTTCATTGTCTACAAAGTGAATGACAGAGAGTAGCTGGCTGAATCGGTTGCGACTCATTATGTCTGCCACAGGCCCATAACGAACTTCGTTTTCCCAGTACTGACGTACTCCAGACATTTGAACTAATCCCATCCTGAGATACAGTCCGAGAACTTGTTCTATCTCTTTTACTGAAGTGTCAACACATTTCCCATGCTTTTGAATACTGTATTGATTGGTGTGCTCAACAATATTTTCCAACATATCAAGGGAAACAAAGCGGCAAAAGTAAACCGGTGGCGTGTCTGTTGTGGTATCCTGGTACGACTCAACTTGTTCACCAAGAAAGTTCACATCAGGCAACTCAAAGCCTTTCTTTCGCCATTTATACGTTTTTGCGGCACGATTTGGCTCCATCTGTACGCTAGCAGTCTCAGCAAATGGCACATCTTCATCACTGGACGAGTGATTGGATGAGTCACTGTCTTCGGCAGAGAATTCACCACCATCACTTTCATGCGGTTGATACAATTCATCAGAATCGCCGTCGCTGTCCAGCTCAGGGCCAAAGTCACTATCATCAGCTTCGAGTTGATCCAATACTTGTTGTGCAGTGAACTTTCTCTGGTGCTTTCCCTGCCCTGAAAAGGGAGTAGCCATACTCCCTGAAAAGATATATTTACTTTATTAGTCTCTGACCCTGTACTACTTAGGTAACTTAGTGAAATGTATTATACAAATTAATTTATTTCGAGGCTTTTGTCAAATACAGGACTGTAAACATTCTCCATCTACAATGTCACTCAAAGAACCAAAGGGTCATTTTTGACCCGACAATTTTTAACCCATACACCCAGAAGGTCATTTTTGACCCATCGTTTTTTTAACTAGCTCAGGGTGGCTAATTTTTACAAAAAGAACACAAAACATTTTTCTAGGCATTCTGCAACTTATTACAAAGTAGATTAACAAATAAAACACAATTTTACCAACATTTTATTTGCTACGAAGACGATTTTTGGGGGGAAAGTTTCCAGCTCAACAAAACAGCATGTGGTCAGCAATCTTCTAACTACCACTCTGGCTAATGTCAGTTCAATATGCATCCACTAGATGTCTCTATGCAGGGGTTAGAAGTGGCACTTTGGGATTTAGAAGATAAATTTGACCTTTTTTTTTTCTTTGTACATTTTGAGCAGCAGCAATTAACAGTGGCCAAATTTGACCCCATGGGTTCTCTAGGGTTAAATGCTGCTTCTTAGATAAAAATTATGATGAGTTCAAACTGGCTGGATACATTTACATCTGTAACAAACATAGAAGAAAAGTCTGCTAGACATCTCCAAATCATAATAAAAAAAGCAAAGATTTATTTATCATATCTAACCGTACAGGTGTTACAGAGGTGCAGTGTTAGTGTCTGTGTAAGTTTCCTCCACAGTACAAGGACTTAGCTGGTAATTCTAAACTGGCTGTAGGTGTGACTGTTAGTCTGTGATGGATTGATGGCCTGTAGTTACTGTGTGACAGGGATGCAAAACTGAATTTACATCGAAAGTATCATCACAAGTTACGAGTGTAACTGAACACTGTCAGTGTGAAGACTTTTAAATGTAATTACTGAGATATCTTACTATAAGGTCTTTAGTGCAGCTTCAACAGCAAATCTCAGTTTTTCTACCTGACAAATGTGTGAAAATATAGAAGAAATGCAGGTAACTCAGTGCCCAGACTGTTCTGTATTGATATTACAACACATTTTTGTTGATTGATGAAGATGTTTTATTTTTCTTGAGTAGGCAGTGAACATCAGCAAAAAAAAAATTCTTTAATTGATTATCTGTTAATTAAATACTTTGGAGTAGTATGAATGTCTTTGGTGACGTGTTTATCAGCAGGAAAAGTTGGAAAACAGTTCAATGTCGAAAGATTTATGTCCTGATTCACATTTTGCAAAGCTGTCAAGCAGGCCAGATTGGTCACAGTTTGAGGACCTGTGCCAGAAGCACCTGCTGACAGCTGGGATAAGCTCAAACTCTCTCTCTGCCTCAAGTCAGATAGAATGGATAAAGAGATCTTCAACCAAATATTTTTAAACTTGTTGCTGGCTTTAAATTGAAAATGAGCAGATATTTCAGAGAGTTGTTCTTTATGTTCACCTCAAATCAACCTGAGTGTCATTTCTCTTTAGTTCTGATCTCACTGCTGAGCTGCACAACAAACCAAGGTCAGTAACCTTCTTCTGTCACAGTTTAAACCTGAGAAATTCTGACAGGTTTTACACATTTGGATTAAAACTTTCAGTAAAGATCTCAAAGACGTGATCATCAGTTTTTAAATTTAACCCTCACAGCTCGTCTGACTGTGAGTCCCAGCAGCTCTCAGTTATTTGAAGGAGTCTTTGTGTCTCTGAGCTGTGAGGAGGACGACAGCTCTGCTGGATGGACTCTGAGGAGAAACACAAGCAAACGACAGAGGACTCAGTGTGGAAGAGATGGGTGGGGAGAAGGTTCTGGTTCTTCCTGTAACATCACTATGGTGTCTTATGACAGTGGAGTTTACTGGTGTGAGTCCAGAGAGGGTCCCATCAGTAACATGGTTAACCTGACAGTCACTGGTAAGCTGAGTGTGTGGAGTTAGTGTTGATGAAGCTGTGTGTAAATGGATGAAATGCTGTAGTTTGTCTCTGTGTTGAGGTGGATCAGTGATCCTGCAGAGTCCTGTCCTCCCTGTGATGGAGGGAGATGACGTCACTCTGCTCTGTAAAACAAAGACCACTCCCTCCAACCTCCCAGCTGCTTTCTATAAAGATGGCTCCCTCATCAGGAAGCAGCCTACAGGTCACATGACCATCCAGCATGTTTCCAGGTCTGATGAAGGCCTCTACAAGTGTGACATCAGCGGTCATGGAGAGTCTCCATCCAGCTGGATCACTGTCACAGGTGACACACTCACCTGTCTGTGTTTCTGCAGCTTTCAACATTCACAATGTGACGACAACTTAATGACTGTGTTTGCTTTATTTTAGGGGAACACACCACCACACCTCCTCCTGGTTCCACCTCCATCATTCTTCCTCCATCACTCTCTCCTCCTGTTCTCTCTGTGTTTTCATTTGTTGGATCAGTCTGTGTTGTGGTTCTACTGGTGTTACTGGTTCTGCTGGTGAGACGATGTGTTCACAGGAAACCTGAAGGTGAGACTCAGACTTCCTGATCTTTCATGTCTGAGTTTGTTTAGTAGAATAAAGTTCACATTCATTATGATCATAGTAACAACTTTGTTAAATGTAATCTATGTTTAGATATTTAATTTATGTTATTCTTCATTTTGGAAAATTTCAGCAGATCAAGAAGAATCTGGAAAAGATGACATCATCACTCATGTCGTGTACAATATTATCAAGCTATCACATCGTCCACAGCCAGTCAGACCAAGCAGATTCTGACACTCAACATGTCTGCTGAGTGGTTAGATTTGCTTTTCATTGAATTTTTGTGAATCTTTATATTGTGGGAACTAGGAATGAAAATATTGTACAAACAAGAAACATGAAAATGTGCATCATCAGAATAATGATGAACACATTTTCTCTTCAAACATTTCAGACTGAGTTTAGTATGAAGGCACAATCAGATTGATCTTCATGAAGATCGTTCTGTCTCTGATAAGATGGATTATCAGGACATTACTGAGCATGTGAGGGATGGCATGAGTGCTTGTGGCAACTGTTGGTGTGATTTGGCGCTGTGTAAATAAAATTGAATTGAATTGATCAGCAATGTATAAATGTGGATTGTAATAGTAAAACATTACATTTAAATAAGTGTGGTCACATGTGTGTTTAACTCTGTACTTACTGAGTGTTGTTCACTGTGAGCTGGACTGTGTGTTTGTGGTCTGTGGTTGAAGCTAACAGCTCTGCAGTCGTCCAGCATCCTGTTTCTGATAGAAAGAAAACACTTCAGCTGCAGGTGTTTCAACACAGAGCTGTTCATTTAAACACAGAAGGGAACGTGGAGACATCATCTGGAAAAGCAGTTCAATAAACTCTAAAAACAGACCATCAGTTCATTCAAAGTGAATGTTAATTACATCAGGAACTTATCCCAATGTTGTTCACTGCTTTTTTTAAAAAAATTACTTGGCTTTTCATTTTCATGTGACTCCAACATTAAATTTTTTTTCAGGCCTCATTCTAAATCTGAAATAATCTATTATTTTCTGAGACTTGACATGTTGAAAAATTAGATTGTAGTTTAACTACAGTCTGAAGTCTGAAGCTGAGGAGACTGCAGGGTGTTCTGGTTGGTCTAATAATAGTGTTCATGCTGTGAGAACATGTTTGCTTCCTGCTCTGTGGTCAGTCTGTGTTTCACAGCAGAGGTGTGAAAATGAGAAAACTGTAAAAAGCTGCTGTGGTTTATTAAAATAATCTTTTCATGAAGCTGCATAAAAAATCATCTGCAGTAATTTAAATGTTTCATTCTGCAGAGCGTGAACCAGCTGAAGACGTCAATTATGGATAAACAAAGAGGCCCAGGTACAGCTGCTCTTTATCTTTGACTGTGGACAGAGACAAGCTAGCTGCTCACCCTGTTTACAGCCATCATGCTAAGCTAGGCTAACCAAACCACACCATGAATCAACTCACAACTCAGGTATATAAAGGATAAACCACTTCAAGCTGCACAGAGCTGAGCAGGACAGGAACAGACTTAGAACATTTGATGGAAATCTGTGTGACAGAGTGGTTACCATGAAGTCCTTTACTTAACCATACTGATGATTTATTTTCTTGTTATTTTACAGTCACCCATAATGCTTTAATTTAGACATTGCTGGTGTAACTTTGCTTAACACACACTATCCCGGGTTTGTTTGTGGTAGCAGTAGTTACATCCATTACATCCATGCGTATGTTTTTTAAAGCAAACACTACTAATCATTTGAATTTTCTTCTGTTTGCAGGCAAATGTCCGGTTAAATTATGTGTCTTTATTTTGTTTTGGTTATACTTACCATGTTTGTCCATGTTTTTTATTCAGGTCCTATATTTAAGACAGGTATATGGGAAGGGCCGCCCCAGTACTTCCTGTTTATGTAGGGTCATGAGGTCAATGATTGCATCATTGGGTTAAGGCAGGGGTCAACAACCTGCGGCTCTTTAGTCCTTATAGTCCTCCGTGTGGTTTGAGAAAATAAATTAAAACTATTTAGCTGGAGTGTATTTTATTTATGTTGGTTCTTTTTTTAACTTGCAGTTCTAAATTGGAAGATTACTGTGATATGGAAATATAAAAATA